TAAGTGCTATTTAAGGAAATAACCTAAATTTTAGTGCTATTTAGTGCAAATATTTCTCTCACTTTGTATCTTGAAAACATACACTAATATTTTATACTAGTGGGATGTTGGTATGATGTTTTAACATTATATTAATATTTTAGTTTTGCAGTATTAGAAATTAACATTTCCTTTTAATTCTTGTATATTAATTCTAAAATTTAAATTTTTGTATTTTAAAAGACAAAGGAAGTTTATGAATTTCAAATTGAACTTTGTTATAAACCAGAGAAATTTGTCTCAAATTAAAATTCAAATTTCTTAACATTGTTTGGTTCAATGAGTTTGAAAAGAAAATGAGAGATAAAAAATTTTTCATATTTGGTTAGAAAGGAAAAAGAAAAGAAAATGAGAAGACAAAATTACTAAGAAGAGAGAAAACTAAATTTCTCTCATTTTATTGAGCAAAAATGAAAAAAAAGTGATTTTCTTTTATTTTCTTTCGAAATTCCTAGAACCAAACATGAAATTTGAGCTAAATCTGGGTTTTGAAATCAAAATCTAAATCATTTTCCTTTTTTCTTGTACCAAGCCTAAATTTTTGCAATGTTGTCGCCTTGTCGCCCTTGTCTTTTTTTTACATTACTTATCATTTTTTATTAAAAACGTATACTAATTTAATTAAAAAATTATATATTAATAAATATAGATAATTATAATTAAAAATTACAACAATAAAAAATAATAAAAATAAGAAAATACTACATTAAAATCACAAAATACTACATAAGTAAAAGAGAGATAATATAACATGTTTCAAATTTTTAAAAAATTAAAATTACTAAAAAAATTACAAAGTGCTTGAAAATTTAAAACTTAAAAAATAAGGACTGCTAATTTTTTTTAGTAATTTTAATTTTTAAAAAATTTTAAACATGTTATATTATCTCTCTTTTACTAATGTAGTATTTTGTGATTTTAATGTAGTATTTTCTTATTTTTATTATTTTTTATTGTTGTAATTTCCTGCTAATTTCCCTATTCGATCATGGCATGGGCCGCGTCCATTTTGTCGTTCCGCATCTTTAGCTCCCTCTCCGACATCCCTAACTTATCCTCTCTCACGAATGCCTTGAGGTGGTTGATGTGAGCAGTCGTGCTCATCTTTCCATGGAAGAACATTCTTCCAACGCGGGGTTTGGTGGGGGTGGGAGCGACATACTTGGAGCCTTGGACTTACCCTTTGCCTTCTTTGTCTCCTTCATTCCAATCAAAAGGCTCTCACTGTTAGGTTCCTCCTTGAGAGAGTTTAAGTTGCCCCCAAAGCATTGAGGTCAATGGGTTGTCCCCCCCTGCACGTCAAGTACGAACCGGTCTCGAAGAATTTAGTTGGCTTCAGCCCCGATCCTCCAGGGTTCGCCCCAACACTGAATTTGAGGTATTGCAAAAATTTCTAGATATCCAAAAACTTAAAAACTTTCTTTTCTGCTTGGAAATAAAGGTCCTTCGCCTTTGGGAGAATGTCATCGTCATTGGATCCACTGGACCGCGTCTTCTAGACGTTGGTAAACAAGCCACTAAATTTTTTGACCTCTGAGTGTGCACGACCACAGTATTTCTGAAGCATCTCTCCGTCATGTTCGTGTGTATCATTGGGCCTCCCGATGTTGTATTTTGCTGCAACACGCTCCCAAAACATTTTGTGTTTCTAGTAGTTGCCAAATATGTCGACGAAGAACTTTGCCAATGTTAGACTTTCTGCATGTGGCATACTTCTTTAGTCTTTCATTCTTTTTGGCCTTCCCTTTGCTCATGCCCTCAGTGATGGCCTTGTACTCGGAAAGGTCGTATTCGTCCTCCTGTCTGAAACTTGGTAGGGGTTATCTTTGGAGCCTGAGAATGGGGAAAATTTCTCGCCCGTATACCCCCAGTGGCACATTAGTCTAAAAACTAGCAAATTAAATTGCATATCTGATTACATCATAAATGTCGGATGTTGAAAGGAAAAGTTATTGCCGTCAGGGTTCATATTTGGGAATTAAGATTTGAGTGAGACGAGCATGGATACATTGGAGTTGGAAATGTGTGAAAGGTGACCACGGTTGGGACGTCAGTGGAAATACAAAATTTAATCTCCCAATAGTGATTACTAGCCCAAGAACACGTACTAAAACTATAGCTAGAGACAGAAACTTATACCTTCTCCAATAAAGCAGTATGAACGTGAAGTCAAACAAAGGTGTTGAAGGAGCAAGCGTAGCCGTTCAAGTGTCTGGCGTCTAACTTTTACACACGAACAATCTCCGGAGTCTACCCTAACACTTGTGCTAGCAAGTGTTAAAGTAGTATATTAAAATATAAAGATTATTTTAGGGATATATATGTATGTATATATATATATGTATATATATATGTATGTGTGTGTGTGTGTGTGTATATATATATATATATATATATATATATATACACGGTTAAAAGCATTACTTATACACACACACACACACACACGTACACGTACTAATATGTATACATACATACATACATACATACATACATACATATACATACATACATATATATATATATGATATTAAACATTTTATTTTACTATTTTACAATATACAAATTAAATATTATCCCTTCTTATAATCCTACTCTTTAAATTGTTCAAAGTGTGTGACCCATATAGGCACTTATAAAACTGGCCATAGTATTGACTCTACACCAATACTATAAGTAATAAGTGGTATCTAGAAACACTTTATTACCCCGATATTATAAGTTCAGACGTTTGCTCTGTCAAAACCTTTCTACGACTAAGACTTTGTATAACGTATCCCAACGTCTTAACTTAGTGCAAGGGATATAAAATAGCCAACTTGTAGCCATTAAGTTATTTACAGATTAACAAGTATGACTGATGAGAACAGATGTTTAAACTCATCTCAGCATGGCCATGCATTTCCTCAGTCATACTTATCAGTAGGCCCCTACAAGACATTATTCTGCTAAAGTAGAAGTGACAAATTCTTTGTACGTAATCTACGTCTTCGAATACGCGCAGAGGCATGCCCAATACAAAGCCTGTGTACCATCCTTATTTCATACGGCCTAGGGCAATGAATCAAAGCATACGGGTTCACGCATTCGAAGAACGTAATATTTCAAGTCTAAGGATCGTTATACCAATAGTCGCATTAAGGACACTTAGAGCATATACTAAAAGTCTAGGCAATGTCCTTAAGGTGGGTCAGCTCTGGCATCCTATTATTAACGATAATATCTGCCCGAGAGTAGATGCGAACACTACGTCATTGACCAAGAGACTAGGTCAAACATCTAACTCTCACTAGTCTCACACGCACTAACGATATCCCACTCTCGTTAATGCTTTGACTATAGACCGTTCAGAATTATACTAAGTGAAAAGATGTCAGTCTCAACATCAGAAGACTCATTCTGATAAACATCTTATAATATAATTCTAGGAATGCAATTAAGAGTTTACATTAGCATGAGATGTTTGTAAACTTATTACATCTGCCTTTACATGATAGGAAATATCTAAGATATTACAACAGCAGTTGGCCACAAGGGCACCAACTCCAACAATGTGGTGAATTTATAGAGTTGAAAATTTATACAAATAATTTGAAATTAAAAATAAAAAATCAGGAAAAAAGTCCAGCGACGCTACCTCGGCGTACATCACACCCTGCCTGGCGCCCAACCAGCACCGCGGCATCTAACACGATTAGCACGAAGTATACAAAACTTATCAATTTATGTTGTACAACATTCATATATTGTCAATAATTGTTTATGTTAACGATTTTCTTCTATTCGATCTTCAATATATATGACTCAATTAATTTATTAGATGCATTATACATTGAAAAGTCATTTAAAATCTTGAGGTATTCAATTGGGGTTTTGAAAAATCATTAAAAATCAAGAGGTATCCAATTGAATTTTAATCAATTTCCCAAATCTAATGGTATTAAAAAAATTCAAAGATTCTCAAAGATTATTATAAAATATAGATTGTGATGGATTTTTGGGCTTGAGTATAAATAAAAATCTTGTTGTCAAATCCAATGAAAAGGCTAGGGATTTTGTCTACTCCATTATATTCTCTTCTCCTCATCCTTATTCTTCATCTTCTCTTCCGCAAGCAGGCCATGGCCTAAGGTCTTCTCTATCTCAAGTACTACGTATTACTCTTTCTCTCAAACGTTCTATGGTCTTGATTCAGATTACAACCTGCAATTGAGGAATTTGGTTCTCCGTCCTTACCTTCTAGATTCGGATTACATGCGAGGAATTTGAAATTTGAAGTAAGGAAATTGGGAGTGGAACTTGAAATTATTTTATATCTTGATGAAGCGAAATCCACTAGAAATTTGCTTCCTCGTCAATATGATTTTAAATTATTTTCTTGGATCCGGAATGGGAGTGGAACTCGAAGAACAATTATTGATGGGATTAACCCGATCAGATGGCGGACAAAGAACGAAAATAAGAATCAAGAGAATATAATCTCGTAATAATATTTCTAATTTGGTATGTAATCAGAATGTTCTCTCTTTACAATGACGGGTTCTTTCCCCTTTTATAGTACTTCTAATTTCTTAATTAAAATTACACATAGTGGGAAGAATTATGGAGATCATGGGGTTGCGGTTCCCCTCCTTTCCGGTCTCGTTCTCTTCCCATTTCCCCCACAATTTGGGGTGTGGGCCACATGTCCAGTTCCTTCTCCGGACTAGATCATCTCAATTCAGTCTATAATTGGGCCGTCCGCCTCATTATTCATATGCGCCTTAGTGGGCCCGATCCGTTACACGCACCTAGACTTGTTCACTTTGCACGATTGTGGGCCTTTATTGGGCCTAGAGTCGGGTCCATCGGACCCGATATCCATCACAAGCCCCCTAGTTTTCTGGAGACGTGTCGCTAGAAAACTAATGATGAGCCGCCTTCGGTTTTCGTGTCGGATTAGAAACGTCGCACTAGAGTGCCTTGGGTCCCTCCTTACAACGGATATAACCCCTTCTCGACTCTTCTTCTTCTTCCTTCATTGCCGAATCTTAACCCGACCCGAATTCTGACTTCAATTGCCCTCAAATTCTCGTCTCTTTCTCCGAAATGGCCCCTTCCACTGATCCCGCAACTTGGGTCCATGAATCCTCCATCATCAAAGAGGATGAACTTCGAGAGATGGCCGAATTTCTAGGCAAAGGCTTCCGGATCCACCATCGTGATGCTGTCGGGGGAATCAGTTTATCTCGTAATCCGGACCCCCAGAAGTATATGGTCATGTACTACCATTCGGTGGGGAACAGGTTCAGATTGCCCCTCCATGGTTTGGTTCGCGACATGTGCCAGACCTTTGAGTTTCCCCCTGGTCAACTGACCGCGAATGCGCACAAATATGTCGCGTCCTACATCTTGCGGTGTTGTGCCTTGGACAAAACCCCAACACTAGACGAATTCTTTGTCCTTTTTAGCATCGGTGGAGATTTCCCTTTCTATAGTGTGTTTCCTCACCCCCAATTCCCAGTTTTTGAGAAGGTTGAGTCCAAAATCGATAGGTGGGCCCGCCGCTACTTCGTCATTGAATTCCCGGCTCACAGCCCCCTAGATCTGTCGGGTATAGTATGCCGTAGTTCTCTCTCCCGGAATCCGTTCGCAACCGCGCCCGAAGCGGAAGGAGCGTACAACGCCCTGAGAGAGGAAGGGGGACTGATTTCACATCATTCCCTTCAGGACGCCAGGTTGCACAAGAAGGCGGATTTCTATTACCCTCTGGGCCCTGACCCCTTCCCGTTTGAAGGGGTATCTTCCCCCAGAAGGTCAAAGGCTTCTCCTGTTGTGGAATCTCATCCAGCCGAGAACTCCTCTAGGAACCAAGCCCAAGGTGATGCTACTGCCCTGGCAATTTGCAAACCATTTGCCGCCCTGGACGTTGTTCCCATTTCTGCCATTCCTGGGCTAAGGAAGCCCACACCGTCCCAAAAGAGGCCACGGGAAGGGGTAACTGATGACGACTTCCTTCCCAAGAAGAGTAGGGGTGATGGTACCCCTGCTTCACCCCGCCCTCTAACTGCTTCTTCTGGTACTAAGGACGCCACCCCTGTTGCCGCATCCGGAGGGCTGGAGTTACCCAACCCAGATAGCTTGGATCATGATGCGGATAAATCCCCTGACCAAGCACCGCTCCAAAGACCAACGGTGCGACCCTAGTCTTCGGTGGAGAACACCTCCCCGCCAACCGTTGCTACCTCCCAAGGGTTGGAGAAGGAGGTTGGGGGCAGAAGGAACCGGAAGCTTCCCCAGAGATGGAGAAAGAGGTTGGAGGACAGCAGGAACCGGAGGAACAACGTTCCGCCGCAGTACCCCCAACCTTCAATCTCCCCATCCCGTGCAAATTCACGCCACAAACCTATCATGTCTTCAAGGAAGGCTAGACAGATTTCTCCCGTGGTCTGAACTCCTTGAAGGCCTCCCACTCCACCATCCAGGTCAATCTGGAGAAGATGACGGGATTGGTGCAGGGGCCCACAATTTCCCAGGCACGCCCTGACCTGCTTGCCCTCAATGCCCTTTACTCCATAGAGCAGGTACTCTTCTCTTTCGAAAGTCTCTTCATTTCACTTTAATCATCCCTTTCTTGACTTCCCTCTCCCCTCTTCAGGCCCAACAATCACTCCTCACTCTGACTAAGGAGTACCTGGGCGGAGCATGGGGGAATTATCGGGCCATGGTGGTCCTGAAGGACAAGGAATTGGCCGCCAGGGCTCTACAACAGAAGGTTGATTCCCTCGAGCAGCAAGTCCAGGCCCTACAAGAGGAGAATTCCAGGCTCAAAGCAGACGCCTCAGCGGAACTGATGGATGAAAGGTCCAGGGTCAAGTCCCTACAAGAGCAGATCGCCACTTACCAAGGGAGTACCCACGACCTGGAAACATAGTTTGACAAACTCCGGGCACAAATTGTAACGCCCTGCAACCCGGTCTAATAGAATTGATTAATTTAATTAATTAGTTGCTGTTCCGGACCGGGGTTGGGAAAATGAAAAGTTCTTAGAAAAATTATTTGATCATATCATTAAATTCGTCTTGACTGTCTGATTCCAGAAACGCAAACGGATTTCAATTTGGACCCGTTTGGGGGAAAAAGCGCGTACCGTTCAGGTCAGATTTTACATTACGGAGTAGAGTAAATATTTGTAACCTCCATCCCATTCACACGCCACTCTAATCATGCCCACTTAAGTCCCCATTACTTTCTTCATTATTATTCTTATTTTAAAACCCCCATCCCATCCTTTTCCTCCTTCACTTTGTAACCCCCATATTCAACACACCACCACTCTCTCTTCCCTTTTCTCTTGATTCGGCCAAGGCAGCAGCAGCACCAAGGGGAATTCTGGTAGTAGACTCGGAAGAGGGAGAGAGGGAAGTGCACGTGTGAAGCAGGTCGTTCGTTTGTTCGTCGGTTGTCCGTTCGTTAGCACCATTCGTTCATCTCGTTCCATCAATCCCTCCATTTAGAGGTGAGTAGTTCTCCCTCTAATTCTAGAACATTTAGTTATAATCTATGTCGTTATAATCATAGAAATATCGTACGCAACCTACGTTGAATCTATGCATGTTCGTATCCAACTTATGTGAGCCCATGTTATTAGGTTATGTACTCGTTAACGTAAATGTTTTGGAACCTCGTAAATTCATCGACTACTTAGCGTGGAAATGAAAACACTCGATTTTAAAAAAAACTTCCAACGTTTGATGGCTACAAACAAATAAAATGGAAATCAGCGTGCCTTGATAATCGGGTTACAGGATAGTGTAATCGATTATCAGGCCACGCCGGACTCCTCAGTTGGTTCAGCACAGCGTGACAATCGATTATCCCATATGTAATAATCGACTATCAGGCTCTGCGGTTTCTTGGGTCTGAGTTGGCTTCACTGATAATCGATTACCACACAGACAAATCGATTATCAGGTCTCTCTGAACTTGGGACTTTCCAGATAAACCAACTTGACAATCGATTGTCATAGGGTGACAATCGATTATCACAGACTGCAGGACTTTGGGGACAGAAGCTGCACAGCATGATAATCGATTATCAACAGCAGATAATCGATTATCAGCCAGTTCTGAACCCAGGGCCATCATGTTGAACAAATCGTAATCAAACACATATGTATGAATTGAATTTAACTCTCTTCTTTAATCAATGCATTCATTCCATCATGTTCGTTCTAGACGGATGTTTTAGGTTTCCATCATATGCATACCGCTGTAGGGAGGACTTCATGCGCCTACTACAGTGGGCCCGTCCAGGAACCTTTGGGGACCAACGGGTTTTCATCATGTTGGGCTTGTGTACGTACATAGTAGTCAGGTTACGACTACTACCCGGTTTTGCTAGTCCACTCGCGATGTTTTCGTCGTGCCCGGCTCGTTACCGTTCGGGGACGATGACTGGAGTGCAGGGGTGATCCTGTCGAGTGAGACTAAGCTAGGGGTGTCCCTGATTGCTTAAGTCATGCATCAAGTCATATCATCATCATTATGTACCTCGTTGTTCAAAATAGCTTTAACAGGTGAAAACTAAACAGCTAGTAACGTGTGGTTTTCCGTACGTTAAGTACAAGTATTGACATGGGTGTAGCCATATGGGTTATTACTTCATGTTCTTTTGTTAGATTCACTCCTCAGCTTTTGCTGAGCGTGTAGTTTTTTTTGCTACACGCAGGTAGGCATGACGGGGCAAATGCCAACCCTGGAGAGCGGTGACGATGGGGAGATGGGCGGCGCACGGACGGACTCTTAATTACTTTCACTAACTTCATTAATCGATTGGGCATGAACCCACCCTTGTCGTTATTTAATTTGGACTGAACTTATTTAATTACTTCCGCAATTACTCTGCATTTTTATTACACACGTTTTGGGAGTAACTCCCTGGCATTTATTCCTCTAATTAAAACCCAACCGTTTTCTTATTAAATAATCATTAATGTTTCCGTAACGGATGGTTCTCGGACTGTCCATGTAACCCTACCGGTCCGTTGGGTCGCGGGTGAACCGGGTCCACGGAAGGCGGGTGTTACACAAATCTCCAGTCTGGAGTCGAAGGTCTTGGCCTTGGAAGGCAAAGAGGGAGTCTGAAAGCCGAAATGGTTGAAAGGGAATCTCGGATCTCTGAGTTGGAGAATTCACTCCATGGTGCCAAGCAAGAGGGTGCCCGCTTTAGTGAGCTCATGTTGAAACACATGGGGTTGAGACGGATTGCCCTCGAGAAGCTGGAGGAGAAGAGAAAGACCGCCAATGAGTTCCGGTCAAAGGTGGGAGAACTGGAGAAGACTATGGCTTCCCATCAAGAAGAGGTGGCCACCCTGACTGCCCGTGCCGAGGCCCTCTACGAAGAAGGGAAATTTGACATGCAATTTTGCATCTACGAGGCGATCCGGAGTGGTCTCCCGGCTCATCGGTCCTTGTTGGGCGAATTGAGTGTGGAGGCTCGACCAGGAAGGGCAGCCGGCCCTAGTCTTGGTTCGACCCATATGGCAGTAAATTAGGTTTTTAATTTAGCCGGCCCTAATTCTCTATGTGGGCTTGGGCCTAACTTGGGGATTAAGTTTTCAACCCTAGTTTAGTCTTCATAAATAGGGATCTCTGTACTTGTAATTCTGTGAGCACCTGGATAATAAAAACCCTAGTTGCAAA